GATAAAAGTTTTTTGACTGTCTTTTACTTAAGCAGTGGAAGGCAGTGTGTGTTGGGTTGGAATCTCAATAAAATTAAAATTCTTTTGCTATACCGAGTTCCTTTTCTACTGATAAAAGTCTTCACTGTCTTTTAATTAAGGAGTGCAAGGCACAGTGTCATGGGTTTGAATCCCATCAACATTAAAATCCTTTTGCTATACCGAGTTCCTTTTCTAGTGATAAAAGTTTCACTGCCTTTTACTAATGCAGTTCAAGGCACTGTGTCATGGGTTTGAATCCCATTCAAATACTTTTGCTAAGATAATCGAGTTCCTAATCTTCTGATAAAAGTACTTTCAATGTCTGTTATGCAGCACAAGACAGTGTGTCTTGGGTTTGAATCCCATTGACATTAAAATACTTTTGCATATTAAGTTCCTTTTCTACTGATTAAAGTTGTTTCACTGTCTGTTATGCAGTCTTCGACAGTGCGTCATGGGTTTGAATCCCTGGCCAACGAGATTAAAAGTGAGTTCTCATACTGATTGAATTTGGTTTTTAACAGTTACTTTGATTCCTTTTTGTAAGCTAGTACTTTCACTGTCTGTTATGTAAACAGTGCAAGACAGTGTGTAAGGGGTTTGAATCCCATCAAGATTAAAATACTTTCAATTGCTGTTATAATTTCCTTTTCCATATTGTCAATTGAAAGCACTTTCACTGTTTGTTAGAATACCGAGGCAGCGCAAGACAGCTTGTCATGGGTTAAGGACATTAAAATTTATATTCTTCTGCTATAATAATTATTATAAAATCTAATAATTAGAATTAACACTTTTACCATCTGTTACAGTGCCAGAGAGTTGGTCATATAGGCTTGAATCCCTTTCAAGATTGATATAATTTTTGTAATAAAAGTGAGTTCCTTTAATTTCTAATGATAAAGCACTTTCACTGTTTATTATAATACCCAGTGCCAGACAGCGCGTCACGGGTTCGAATCCAGTGCCAGACAGCGTGTCACAGGTTTGAATCCCATACAAGATTTTAAATACCTTTTTGCTAAAGTGAGTTCCTTATCTACTCCTAAAAGCACTTTCACTATCTATTACAGTGCAAGATGAGGGTCATGGGCTCAAATCCCATACAAGATTAAAACACTTCAGCTATAATAAAGTTCCTTTTCTACTAATCGAAGCACTTTCACTGTCTGTTACCTTGTAGTGCAAGACAGTATGTCTTGAGTTTGAATCCCATATTCCATTAAAATACTTTTGCTAAAGAAAGTAATTTTTTACTTAATATAAAAGCAGTCTCACTTTCTGTTACATTGCAAGAGTGTGGATCATCTGCTTGAATCCCATACGAGATTAGCATAGTTTTTCTGATAACTTGGGTTACTTTCCTACTGATAAAAGTATACTTGTACTGTCTGTCTTCTAGTTCAAGACAGTTTTGTCTTGGGGTTGAATCCCATACAAGATTGTAACACTTTTGCTATATTGACCTCCTTTTTTAATTATTAATTAAAAGTACTTTAACTGTCTGTTACCTGATAGTGCAAGACAGTTTGTCTTGAGTTTGAATCCCATATAGGATTAATACTTTTGCTAATAAAAGTGAGTAATTTTCTACTTTTAAATATAAAGCACTTTCAGTTTCTGTTACATTGTATCATGATCTTGCTTCCCATAAAAGATAAATATAATTTTGCTTTTAAATTGGGTTCCTTTTCTATAATGTACTATCTGCCACTGTCTGTTTCCAGGTACAAGACAGTTTGTTTTGGGTTTGAATCCCGTTAAGACTGTAAGACTCTAGCTTTATTACACGACTCGAGCAGTCAGAGGGCCAATAACTAAAATCAACCAATCAAAATGCTCTATTGCCGGTCCAATATTCTCTAAGTATTGGACCGGGCACTGTCCCGAACGATACCGCACTTGTGTCCCTTTGAACATCAGTTGTACAATAAATCTCTTAGGACGGTACTGGAAGAATATCGGCCCTCTGTCTTTTTTTGTACGGACCTCACTGCGCTTGGTCCGTACTGTCTAGACCTCGGGCCGATATTCTCCCAGTATGGCCCTCATGCTTGGTTAATAAGATATATATATCTAACTCCCTTTTCTACTTATTAAAGCAGTTTAACTGTTTGTTACCTCCCAGCTTAACCCTCCCTTTTCTACTGATTAAAGCACTCTCACTGTTTGTAACATTTCCAGACGGCGAGTCATGGGTTTGAATCCCATAAAGAATACCACACTTTTGGCTCAGGTGAGTTTCTTGAACTTTCTACTGATAAAAGTACTTTCACTGTCTGAGGTAATACAGTGTACGTGTCTTGGGCTTGAATTCCATATAAGATTTAAATACAAATTCTGCTAAACTAAGTTCCTTTGCTACTGATAACATTTCTTTAACTGTCTGTTAACCATTGTTAGGCCGTTTATCATATATAGATATAAATTAAGCCATCAAATTCAAAATGCTTCTGATATAGTGAGTTATATTACATACTACAATTATATAAAATAAAGCATTTTCACTGTCTCTTACAGTGCAAGACAGTGTCTCTTGGGTTTGAATCCATAATGAGAATAAAATGCTTTGATTTTTAAAGGTGAGCTAATTTCTACCTCTAAAAGCACTTTCATTGAAATTCATCTTCTGCTTTGGTGCAGGAAGTGTGTTTTGGGCTTGAATCCCATAGAAGATTAAAATAATTCTGCCATATCGAGTTCCTTTTCTACTGATGAAAGCGCTATAGCACTATCTCAGTTGCCCAAGTGCAATATAATTTGTCTTGGGTTTGAATCCCACATAAGATTGAAATACTGTTTGTTGAAGTGAGTTATTTTATACTTACATGTACATAAAAAGTTTCTTTCAGTTACAGCATAAGGTAGTGGGTTATGAGCTTTAATCCCATATAAGATTAATATAACTTTGCATATAACTGAATTGGGTTCCTTTTCTACTGTTAAAAGTACTCTCACTGTTTTCTAGTGCAAGACAATTTGTCTTGGGTTTGAATCCCATATAAGATTATAACACTTGCTATATCGACCTCCCTTTCCTAATTATTAAAATCAGTTGACTGCCTGTTACCCTGTGATGTGAGACAATTTGACCTTAAGTTTGTGTCCCATTATTTCAGGGTTAAAATGCTTTTGCTTAAGTGAGTTATTTTCTACTTATAAAAGCATTTTCAGTTTCTGTTACAGTTTAAGACAGTGGGTCATGATCTTGAATCCCTTTAGTTACAAGATCAACATAGTTTTGCTTTTAAATTGGGTTCCTTTTCTACTGATGAAAGTGCTTTTACTGTCTGTTTCCATGCTAGATATTGACCTTCCTTTTCTGTTCATTAATTCAGTTTAACCTTAATTGTTACCTCCCTGTTTAACCTCCCTTTTCCACTGATTATGTACTAGCTCTCACTGTTTATTACACAGTTCCAGAGAGTGTTGTCAAGGGTTGGAGTCCCATAAAGAAAACCATACTTTTGCTCAGGCAAGTTTCTTGAACGTTCTACTGACAAAAGTACTTTCTGAGGCAACACTGTGTCTTGGGCTTGAATTCCAATTTAAGATTGAAATGCTTCTCTTAAAACTTAGTTCCTTTGCTACTTAAATAATTTCTTTTACGGTCTGTCAGCCAGTGCAAGACAGTGTGTTGTGGGTTTGAATTCAATGCAATATTAAAATACTTTTGCAAAAGCAAGTTCTTTATCTACTTATAAAAGGACTTTCAGTCAGTGCAAGACATGGTCTCTTAATTAGCTTTGAAACCACGATATTAGTTAATACTTTAGTTTAAGTAAGTTCCTTTAATTTCTATTTATAGAAGGACTTTCACTGTCTGTTACAGTGCAAGACAGTACGCGACTCTTGGGTTTTTAATCCCATACAAGATGAAAGTACTTTTACTTCAGCAAGTTCCTTTTCCACTGATAAAAGTTCTTTCACTGTCTGTTAACCAGTGTTAGGAGTTCATCATAGATTTGAAGCCATTACATTTAAAATGCTTCAGTCTACTATAGTGGGTTATATTATAATTTACTATAATTATATAAAAACACTTTCACTGTCTCAAACAGTGGAAGACAGCGTCTCTCTGGGTTTGTATCCCTAATACAAGATCAAAATAGTTACTTTTAATATGCCAAGTTGAGTTCATTTCTACCTCTAAAAGCACTTTCATTTTCTGTTTCAGTGCAAGCCAGAGTGTTTTGGGCTTGAATACCACACACGATTAAAATACTTCTGCCGTATTGAGTTCCTTTTCTACTGAGAAAAGCACTGTTATTAATAATCAGTTTAATTACTCTTTTTGTAGCTTACAGCTAAATTATAAGAGTGGGTTCATCTCTAAGAGTGCCTGAGCGTAGATGGTATCCATGGGACACAGTTGTGCAATGTGGCAGCAAGTTAGCATGGACACCACTGTTTCAGTTGCCCAAGTGCAATATAGTTTGTCTTGCGTTTGAATCCCACATAAGGTTGAAATACTGTTTGCTAATTAATATATATAAAGTGAGTTATTTTACTTATAATTATGTACATAAAAAGTTTCTCTTTCCATTACTGCACAAGATAGTGGGTCATGAGCTTTAATTCCATATTTAAGATTAATATAACTTTGCTTATAAACTGGGTTCCTTTCCTTCTGATGGAAGTACTTTCACTGTCTGTTTTCCAGTACAAGACAGTTTGTCTTGCGTTTGAATCCCATATAAATAATTATTTAAAACACTTTGCTATTATAATTATTTACCTCAGTTTTCTACTGATTAAAGCACTCTCAGTGTCACTTTGTTACAGTATAGTTCAGTGGGTCATGATCTCGAATCCCATATAAGATTAGTACAATTATTTAAGATTAAACTGCTTTTGCCATTGTGAGTTCCTCTTCTAGGGACGAAATTCTTTCACTGTTTGTTGCACAGTTCCAGAGGGTGTCATAGGTTTGAATCCCAAAGAATGCCATACTTTCACTTAAGTGAGCTTCTTTAGTATTCTACTAGTACTTTAAAGTATTCAGAGTCTGTTAACTGAGGCAAGACAGTGTGTCCTGGGCTTGAATCCCTTACAATATTAAAATACTTTTGCTAAACTGAGTTCCTTTGCTGCTGATAAAATTTCTTTCACTGTCCATGTGCAAGAACAGTATGTCAAGGGGTTTGAATCCCATACAAGATTAAAATACTCTTGCTACTTAAAAGTGAATCCTTTTTCTACTAATAAAACGACTTTCATCCTTTCTTACAGTCCAAGATTTAGTGTCTCTTAAATTTGGTTTAATTGCCATATACAATAAAAATGCTTTCACTAAGGTGGGTTATTTTCTGTGTATAAAAGCGCTTTCACTTTCTGTCTCAGTGCAAGAGATTATGGGCTTGAATCCCATATAAATTTAGAACACTTTTGCTATATTAGCTGACCTCCCTTTTCTACCGAATAAAGCACTTTCACTGTCTGTTACCCCACAGTGCAAGACTGTGTGCGTGTCTTGGGTTTGAATCCCATATAAGATTTAAACACATTTCCTAAAATAAGTTTCTTTTCTTCTGATAAAAGGACTATTGCTGTAATGTTACCCTGTAGTGCAAGACAGTATCTTATGGGTAGACCTATTAATTTTAAGATGAAAATACTTTTGCAATAGCAAGTTCCTTTTATACTGATAAAAGTTCTTTCACTGTCTGTAACTGAAAGTGCAAGACAGCGTGTCTAATTGGGTGTGAAACTGGACAAGATTAAAATGCTTTTGCCATTGCGAGTTTCTTTAATTCTACTGATAAAGCACTTTCACTTCCAGTGAGAGTATGATGGGTTTGAATCCCATAAAGAAATACTTTTGCTCAAGCAAGTTTCTACTGATAAAAGTGTCTTTGTCTGTTAATAGCTATGGCAAGCCAGTTTGCCATGGGTCTGCAACCTATATAAGATTAAAATACTTTTGCTACGTAGTGAATTTTTTTTCTACTGACAAAAACACTTTCACTGTCTGTTACCCTGTAGTGCAGACTGTCTTGGGTTTTCATCCCATTCAAGATTAAAATAATTTAATTTGTTGAAGTTAGTCCCTTTCTACTTATAAAAGCACACTTTTATTATCTGTTACAGTGCAACACTGTGTCTTGGGCTCTAATCCCATACAAGATTAAAATACTTTTGCCATATTATGTTCTTTTTTTACTTTTAAAAGCACAACACTTTCACTGTCTTGCCATAGCGCAAGACAGTTTGTCTTGGGTTTGAATYCCCATACAAGATTAAAATACTTTTGCTAAATGAGTTATATTTCCTGCTCATAATTATAAGAACTTTCACTTTCAATTGCAGTACAAGATAGTGTGTCATGAGCTTGAATCGCATATAAGATTAATATAACTGTGCTAATAAAAGTGAGTTCCTTTTCACTGCTAAAAGTACTTTCACTCTGTTTCCCAGTGCATGAAAAAAAAAAGAAAAAAAAAGAAAAAAAAAAGAAACAAATGGGCAAATTAAGCTTTGAAATTTTACCTACTTTACTTTTTTGGCATCTTTGTATTCTTTATGTCGCACCTTTTTCTAATAAATGAAAGTAGATTTGGTTCTTTAATTTTGTTGTTAGACGTATGTCTTCTCAAAAGAGTCTGTTTTTCCAGCCTTACTTCGTGTCAGCTTATCAGAAAACAAAACTAAGAAAGATGCTTAAACAACTTAAAAATAAAAAGTGATCTGAAAGTAAATATTGTTAGTATTTTTACACAATCATGTAGCTGCTGAAAAGTAAATATTGTTAGTCTTTTTATACAGTCATGTAGGTCCTGAAAAGTAAACTGTTTTTTAGTTCCTGAAAAGTAAATATTTTTTATTAATAATCTTTTTGCTATGATGAAATGACACACAGACCTTTTTTTTAATTTTATTTTGTTTTTAAATCATCTTTACATGAGAGCCTTTGTTAATTGAAACCATGGTATCCTGATATTATGTTTTGCTTGGCGTGCAGAATACCAGCCAAAAAAAATGCATTGTAAACAGTCCTGCAAAAAGAAAGTTGTCAGTAGTTTTTATCGAGGGTTTAAGAGAATTAACCAGACTCAAGGTTTTTGTTTTTTTATTGGTATCAAACTCTTTTACATCATGTAACTTATTTTTGTCTAATTGTCCTGCAAAAAAAATTTGTTAGTAGATGAGAGAAATTTATTAAATCTCTAAGAAAAATGGACACAGACACAGGCCTTTCTGTTTTTATTATTTCAAAGAGTTACATCACTTGTACATTCTTTATGTCTTACATGTAAATTGTGTATGGATGGGACAGCGCATTCCTATATGCAAAACTTACCATCTGTGGAAACCTCAAGTGTTCCTGTGTCAGTAAATGTCGACACCGCGAAAGGAACACCCAGGGTGTCCTAGATGGAGTATATGGATCAGAAGCGGCCTGCTAACAATAGACGCTACCAGGCCTCTGTAGTAACCATAGCAAATTGGATGCCAATTATATTCGAGACCGAAAGCCAAAAATGGTGGCTACAGCGAGTTTCGAAAGTGCCGAATAGCCGGATTAAACAGTAGCCGGATTAAACAGTAGCCGGAATAAACAATAAAAAGTCTACGTACCTGCTGACCTTACCTTCTCCATGATAGCTCCTTCAGTTAAATATGTGTTTAGTTAATAATATTTACAACAATTTGGCCGACGGCAAGTTTGCTGTAATGTCAAGACAATTGGCTTAAAAGTTTGTGTAAAAAGCTAATAAAAGTATATTATTGAAAAATTTTTTAACACCAAAGCAAGGTACTCCTTTCCACTGATGCATCCTCATCCTGATGTTAGGTGAGGAGTTCAATTGACAACAAATTTTGGCTGACATGACAAGATAATTGTCTTGAGTTGTAAACTTGGAATAAAACAATTTTGACAGACTGTTTACAAGCCAGCACAACATACTGAACAATTTGCCTAATTTCTTTGTGACTTAAACTGAGGTGTGTGCATAACCCCTATTTCCCACTAAATGAAGCCTCAACTAGCAGCTTCAACTGGAGCTAAACCACTAAACAGGATAGAAGTAGCAAATGGGCGTACTGCCCCTGCTGAATGGCTTGAAATCTCCAGTTTCTTATGATAAGTAAATGTCTGGTTGAACCTTTAGGCCAGAACGGTTTGCCAGAATTCATTTTTAGGCATAATTTGGATTCAAGAGTCTCACTGGATTGCCAGTCCTTTGTGTGACTGCAATAGAGTGAAACTTTAAAAACAAGTTTTAGTGGCGCGCAACTAAGCTGGAGATTCAGTGCCGAAGTAGCTTGTGCTGACCACAGAAGAGCCGTTGAAGTTCCATACTCCAGTCGAGGCAATCGAAGATCTGTAGCCTTGAAGTTGACAATGTAACAAAGCCGAAACAGATTCCGAACCTAAGTTTAAAACTTATGCCGAAAGTACCTGAAAAGGAACCCAAAGCAGAAACCTAAAGGGAGGACCCATCCAACCCACGGGGACCCAACTAACTAACCTAACTACATTAAATTAAGCCAAATGTAAAGCCAATGGACTTTGAGCCGAAATTTGATGTAAGGTTCATCCAGAGCTCTAACTAATAACCCTCCCTGCCAACCCAAAAGGAATGAGCTAACCAGTTAGTACTTGTCTTCCATCAGCATCTTCTTTCCCAGTTCAACATCAGCGAGTAAATCCTAAGATGTAGCATAAATTGAAGAGGAGTGAAGAGAAACCTGTGGTCTCATCTTCCAACAATCCAATTTTCCACGTCTTAGAATGTCCCCATCCGAGTCAAACTGGTACACACTTGCTTTAATGAAGTAGTGGCTAAACCAGGTGGTGTACTGACACGGGCACAGAGCACAGGGAAATGGTGATACTGAAACAAAAAAAAAATTGCATGACTGAATGTGCTATTCAAGTTGATAAAGTTAATGTGTTTTTGGATGCAAGAATGAACACATACATGAATTAAAGATGGAAGGAAGGAAGGAGTAAACAAATGACAAATTAACTGAGATGCATCAATGAGTATTGCTATTGAAAAGCGCTAGAAACTGAAAATGGAGCCAGGTGTAGAGCGCTGATAAGACCAGAGCATAACCTAAAACCAGAACAGGAAATATATTCATAAATTTACATTATTTGTTTACCCCACTGAACAATACAAGTTTTTTAGAGACTTTGTTTGCTGTAATATTAACCTAGTAGGTAGGTTGATTAACGAGGAATTGATTGCTATCGTCACTAAATTCACCCTATTTCAAAAAAGACTTAGAAATAAAAATCAGAACTTTGAAAACAAAAACTACTAGTCTCCGAGGTATTCTATTGTTTTCATTGAACAAAGACTGAATGCATAATTGCATGTATGGAGTTCTCTGGAAAATCTTCCCCAGAAATGTTTCTTTTTATACAATTTTACAATTAAAAGGTTGATTTAAAAAATATTATTTTCGTTTATTCCAACGGAGTTTTTTGGCAAGATATCCGTAGAACCCCATACTTCATTAGGAATACAATTCTTGGATAAAAGAAAACAGGCAAAACCACAGATTACCTTCGGGACTTGGGACTTGTTTTTGACTGGTAGGGGGTTATAAAAAAGTCTTTCGGTTTTTTTTTTTTTTTTTCGCGGGTAAGCTGTCTGTAGGAGCACTTTAAAACGGCAATAACTTATTTTATAGGTAGGAAAAATCGGCTGAATAAGCGATTTTAGAGACAACGAGGCGCCCAGAAAAAAAGATGTAACAAGCCATAGCATAAAAGATAAAAATGGTGGGAGTGACCAGTACATGTTCCAAACTGTTACTGGCGAACTTTTAATTTTTGCTTTGGTACTTAAAATCCTTAAGCTGTCGCCGAAAACATAACTTTCACCATAACGGGAACACGAAAATAATAAACAATGAAAAAGGGACTATTTTGCCGTCAAATTATCTAGTTCAAGTTAGCTAAACTTGTTAACAAAAAGTATTAGTCAATTTTCTTGGCAAAAAACTAGTGACGTTTCGAGAACATGCTGCACGTTTTCTCGCGCCAAAAGCCATTCAAGGTTGCTAGTGTTCAGGACACGTTCATTTTTGAGAAAATTATCTTATAAATTACCCTCAAGTTTTTAGCTTTCATCTTGAAGCAAAAAATGAAAATTCCGTTGTGGTTATCGAAAAATGTGACAATGGGAGTCTAATTACTCACCTCTTTATATTTCCTCTGCAGCGTGTCTGTCATCTTCCAAGGCTGCGACATTTACATTAGAATCAATGACGAACGTAAGAAAGCCAAGAAGTCAGCGAAGAATTCTTTTAGAAAGATCTGTAACGAAACACGTGTCATTAAATTCTCACTTCTATTTATGTGAATGTCTTAACCAAACTTTCGTTGGCGTAAAAAGTAGATTTTCCGGAACGAACAGAGCCACAAATTTCTCAGTGCAACATTTTAATGTACGAAATTTTACGTCTCATTTTCGCACAAGTGAAACCTTTAATTTAAAGCAAAAATTAGCTCACCAGTTTTCCTCATTCCTTTTCGCAATTCGTAAGATGTTCGTTGGATTTCACCGCCCTGTGAGCCTTAAAGGACGATCTTTTAGCTTCTTCTTTCGGAATACTTCACCAGTCTGCCATCATTTCACGTGTTGTTGTCGGAATGAAAATATTTGAAAAGCGTGCCGTGTATTTTTTCGAGCCCAAGTGGTCTGATACTCGTTGCTGATTGGCTTATTTCCTGTCAGCCGACCTACGTCATAGAATTGTCACCCTGGTAAACCACTCCCTCGAATATTATCTAGGGGTCAGTCCTTTTCAGACCTGTTACTTCCCGACAAGGGAACAGGAAACCTTTATACAATGTCAGAGATCAATTGCTGAGTAAGGACTAGTGAGACCTGCCTCATAATCCCACCTAGTGTTGTTCTATTGTATTTGTTGCGCGGCAATGCAATGAATTGTGCTGAACTGTGTGATATCATTTTTGTGTTTTTCCTTCTTTGATTGAGTCTATGCTGATGTCCACAAAGTTACCTGTGATATTGGGTATTGCAAAAATCGAAAATGTTATTCTTTTTAACAAAGCTGCAAAAAATTTATTTAGGTTAACATCATACTGAGTGAATCATCCACGACAAATATCCCCTAGAACTCTATTCGCCCTTACCACCAGTTCTCTAACGAAAAACTCTACTCATTTCGAGCTCAAGGGCGTATGACGTCAAGAAAGAGAAAGTAAACGTCTCTAAGACTCCTAATTTACAAAACGCCCACTTAGAAGTTTTTGCCAGAGGTTGCGATTGACGTTCTAAACAAACGGGAATATGTTTGCCAGGGTTAATAGGCGTGCTGTTCGTCAAAGGTGGCACACGGAGAGCGCATCAGAACTTCTGTCAACTAAGCTTCTGAGCAAGCTCCAGGGGCAAATCTGTTGCACGAGTCTGTTGCAGGCGCAAGCTCCCTGGTGTGTACTGAAATTTGCTTGCCGTGTTGGATTTATAACAACTAGTTCCCATATATGCTCCAATCGGGTTGTTTCATCATTCAGCTCCCTCGTCGTGTCCTTCGTGTGTACTGGTTGGGGTACTTACCCGGGAGCGTGTTGCAGGAGCGTGCTGCGGGAGCAAGCTTTCTCGTGTGTACCGACCTTTAGATGATGATGACTTACGTCGCTGTCCCTCAGCAGCGAACGAGTTAACAGGATAGAGCCCAAGGTTGACCGCCACCACTGCTGCTGCGACGGCTCGAGTCTTGAGGACCAAGTCTACCAACGACTCCACTGATGTCGCAAATCTAAAAATTTTTAACTGACTCTTAATGTAACTAACTTCTCGAGGCCTCACCCAGTTTACACCACAGGAACCGCTAAAATTGCCGACGAACCTTTTAACTCATTCATCGAAGTATCCCTTCACTGACGACCAATTACCACAATAAAAAAGTGAAAGACAACAATTTTATTGTTGTACATTACATACAAAACTTTACAGTACACTCCACAGACTACCTGAAGGCAGTCGTAGTCGAACGTTAATTTTTGGCTCAAAAATGAAAATTGCATATTTATCAAAATATGCTGTGATATTGACATAAAAGGAGTATGTTATTCCGTAAGGAAAGAGATTTTAAGGGGAAGTTAGGGGGGGAACTGGTGAAGGTTGGGGCCAACTTGTTTTACTTCCATAAGCGGTAAGGGGAGCGAACTTACAATAGGGCGAAACAATCAGATACCCAGTGAATGACGCGCAATACGGCTGACACGATATCTATCGGCGGCGAATGATGTGTATTGACGGTTTAGTTGTGTAATAAAGGACTCGGCTCACTTTTCAGTAACATTGGTTTAACATTTATCGTGAAAATAAAGAATGAAACTCGAAAAGTGCATTTGGGTGAGCCGACAGTTACTTGAAAAAGTTGAAATGGTAAATTGGCCACCGTAACGATTACAAAAGCTGACGTTTCGAGCGTTAGCCCTTCGTTGGAGCGAATAGAGGAATTGTGGGTTGTGTGTGCTTTTAAAGACAGAATGGAGCTACGTTATTGGTGGGAACATAGCAATGAGAACAACAAGAAACAACAAACATATGAAATACATATATATGAACTGCGGTTATGAAACGTATATGTGCACGATCCTTCGCAGTAAAGCACTATTTAAGCAATAGTGAAAATCAGACCTGAAAAAAATTCAGGCCTGTACGGGATTCGAACCACTGAACTCTGCCGTTTGAACAACTTGAACAACAAGAATAAATTAGTGGAATGAAAAGCGTTAGTTGATCCCTGTGGGATTTAGACTGCCGGTTTGAAAGATGAGCTTTTGTTCAAAATTTTTCCGGCTTTCCGTGCTACCTAAGTGTAAGGAAAGACCGCAGATTACCATATATTGCTTAGAATGATGAGGTAAAATTAAAATGCCTAGCGACTGGTTTCGATGTGTTCTTGTCATTCCTTTCCACGTCTCGAAGGTGTTCGAGGAATCGGTCACCTAGTCTTCTGCCTGTTTCGCCGATGTATATCTTTTTGCAATAAGTGCAAGTTATGCAATAGATTACACTGGCGGAGGTGCACGTGAAGTGATCGGTGATCTTCAAACGCGACAAAAACATAGGCAATTTTTTGGTCAGAAGTTCTTTTCAGACTAATGACCAACCAGGCATTTTTAAATGCGCTCGTGCACGATGCAAAACGTGTCCTTCCATTCACAACACTGATAAAATATCGGGACCTAAACGATCCATTAAGGCCTCTTCCCTTTGTTGGAGGTGGGAAAAGCCCTTTTGGGAACGAGGTTGGCTTTTGCTTAACTTACAAAATCTTAAATAGCCTAGAAGGCCCTTGGAATTCATCATACCAACGAGCACGCCTGAAAAACCTCTACAGTTAACACGAAGCATACATAACTAACATACTCCCGTGTCATTGTCAAAACGTTACAAATTATAATTACCGTAAGGAGAAATTACATGCTGGTTACTCTTAGGATTTAAAATCAATATTTCCACAATAATACCTTGAGGAAAGTTAAATTACGCCTAACTGTAACTAACCTATTAAACGGGTAGGACTGAGGTAGGAATAGTTTCCAATTTCTGACAAATATTTTGTTTGAGTAGCAACCGCAAGTCACGTTTCCATTCTCTACAGTACGAAAGGACGAACGCAGAAAGCAAGTAACACTAGAAAAATATCTCCCTTTCGGCCCTTGAAAACTGACTGAGCTGCTCAAATGCTTTTGCACGATTCAAATTTCCTTCGACCCTTTACTCAAAAGTGTTCCTTTAGCATAAAACAACGAAGAGGACCTAACTTTATACCAGGTGACTGGGAGCACCCTATGTTTGGCATGTAAATAAAACATATGAGGGTGGAATGAGAGGGTACCCAGACAGGAAATTGACGCCCAACTCTGAAAAACGTATGTTGGAATCCTCAAGCGTGCTTCCAGGACTGAAAGTTGTTAGTGTCTAGGAGCACGCATGGAGAAATTATTCGGTAACTATGAAATTGCACCAAGAACCCGAGACCGTACAAATAGCGACGTTACTGACGGTGATCGGAGCCGAAGCTAGGAAAGTTTTCTCCACGTTTACGTTTGACGAAGGTAACAGTGACAGAGTACAGCCGGTGTTAGAGAATTTTGCTGCTTATTGCCAGCCGTTGAAGAATGTTCCTTTTGAAAGATACAGGTTTTACTCTAGAATGCAAGAAGCGGGAGAATCGTACGACCATTATCGGACAGTCCTACGACAATTAGCTGAACGATGCGAATTTGAAACCATTACGGCAGATCAAAGTTACGGGACAAGCTCGTTTTCGGAATTCAGGATTCAAGGGTACATGAAAGGTTGCTTCGCGAAAAGAATTTGTCATTGGAGAAAACTGATGAAATTTGTTGGGCGCACGAGACAACGATTGAACAAATGAAAGTTGTTGGAGATGCCAGCAGTGGGGATACAGA